TTTTTTTTTTTTTTGTGGTTGTGGAGGTTGAACCCAGGGCCTTGTGCATGCAAGGCAGACCCTCTACCAACTGAGCTATATTCCCAGCCTATTCTTATTTCTTAACGTTGACCTGGATCTGCTTATGAACTTCATATTTTATTCATTTATTAGCTCTGTCCCTGTACTCCTGTTGTTACTCTTGGCTTTTGGTGGCACACATCCTAATTTTTTTGGCCCAGTGTCGAGGGGAGTACCGGGTATTGAACTCAGGGACACTCTACCACTGAGCCACATCCCCAATCCTATATTGTTTATATATAAATTATATATGTGTGTGTGTGTGTGAGAGAGAGAGAGAGAGAGAGAGAGAGAGAGAGAGAGAGTATTTAGTTGTTGATAGACCTGAGAAATGAATGCAGTGCCTCACACATGCCAGGTAAGTGCCCTATTTTGTATTTTATTTAGAGACAGGGTCTCACTGAGTTGCTTAGCACTTCACTTTTGCTGAGGCTGGCTTTGAACTCAGGATCTTTCTACCTCAGCCTCCCAAGCCACTGGGATTACAGGCATATTCCACTGCACCCAGTCACAAGTCCTATTTTCTTAAAAATTCCATTTGTTTAGTTTAAAAAGCTCTAAGCTTACAAATTATGTTAAGATTTAACACATATATAATATTGGGTCTTCCTATTCAGGAATATCATTATTGATGTGTTATATTTACAAGTAGAATATTCATTTGGAGATGTCCTGTAGTCTTTGGTGCATATATATGGGTATGAAGCTCAGATCATAGGCATGGGGGACAAGAAAAAAAAAGATGTGGGATTTTGGGGCTTACATGTGGTATGCAAACCATTAGATGAGCTTGCTTAGAAACATTTAGATGGAGGCTAAGCATAGCTCTCTGGGAATTGACATTTAAGAGGAAAATAAATTACCTGAAAAAATACATGATGTTGAAAGTTTCAATTGGGAGAGTAGACAAGGCAAGGACCTTTAAATCTTTGTTCTGTTTACTAATCATGTGACATTACTTTCCTAAACCTTTATTTCCTCTTCTTTGGAATGGGAATATTATTATCTATTCTATAATATTGTTTAGAGTATAAACTGAAGAAAGATGGAGACAACAGGATATGTTAGTAGAGATAAGATGAGCTTTGTGGTCACCACTAGGGTTTGGATTCTTGCTTTACCATTTACAACGTTGTACTGTCTTAGGAAGCTATTCAGCTTCTGGTTCACACTTTCCAAGTGGGGGATAATGATAATAATACCTTTCTCATAGGAATATTTCTAGGTTTCAATGAGATGATATGCTTAGCACAATTTCTGGGACTCAAATGTTTGCCTTGGTGATGGTGATATGTATAGAGTGGTCAATGTACAAAACCTAGCGTATGGATAATATTAGTGCAGGCCTTCTGTCTGAAACTTATGAATAGGAAGAGATCTATACTCTTTACAAAAGTTTAGGAGAAAAAAGACTGGCACATTGATATGGCCATTTGGGACATATGTGTGATTGGGTCACGCAGGCCTCTTATGGAATCCAGTTTTACTTAGGTTATTTATCTTGAGCGTGTGATGAAGGGAACTATTTAGGTAAACATTTTATTTCTCTCTTCCTTCAGGCAAACATAGACCCTCCCAAGCTGAGTAGAGATGAGCAGCGGGGAAGAGGTGCCCTCTTACAGGACATTTGCAAAGGGACCAAACTGAAGAAGGTGACCAACATTAATGATCGGAGTGCTCCTGTCCTTGAGAGTGAGTCTAAGCTTCATTTCCTAGTGAGACACAAGGATTCCAGAATTGACTTGGAGATTTATCTGGGCTGTCATTTTTATTATTGAGTCTTGAGTGAGAAACTTTTGTCCTGGGACTTCCATTGGCTCTTCCTGTTTGCTCATTTGAATACTTAAAAATTTCTTCCTGACCCTTGACAAGTATTCTCCAAGTTAAGACTACACCTTCTAATACTTGTTGGGACACATTTTTGGCTGTTCTTTGAGGAGACTACTACATTCCTAGAAACCTCTTAACTGAAACCAAACATGATTTTATAATTGCTACAAGTTTCCATTCCTGTAGTCCTCTGGAGAGTTTCCTTGAACTGTTAGCTCCCTTACATCTGGGATTTGGAAAGGAGAGCCCAGAGAACTCTGTTGAACTTTTCTTTATCCCACTTGTTATCACTTCACCCTAATTAAGAGAAGAATGGCTCCTTGTTCCTTTTGTTTTTTTCTCTTTCATCACAGTGAAGAGTTCCATCCCCATTTGAAGCTGTGGAGTAGAAAGGTCTAGCTTTTTTAAATGAAAAGGCAAAAAAAAAAAAAAAAGCAAGATTGGTTTGTTTGTGAATTAAAGCCCAGATAGAGGAGGGGTTTGTCCTGGGGTTGACTGGTCATCAGCACAGAATATACGACATGAAAACTTAATGGTATGCTTTCCAGAGCCCAGAGGAAGCAGTGGTGGTTACGGCTCTGGAGCTGGTGCCCTGCAACCCAAGGGAGGTCTCTTCCAAGGAGGAGTGCCGAAGCTCCGCCCTGTGGGAGCCAAGGACGGTTCAGGTATCTGATAAATACTTTCTTAGAAGATTCCTAAAGTGCATTTGTTAGTTTCTGACTTGTCCCAAGTAGGTCATCTGGAGTTGAGGACTGTGGTTGAGATGGGAACAGAGGAGTAGTTACAGAATAAACAAAATTTGAGAGGTTAAATAAAAATGTATTCAACTTAGGTAAGAAAATGTGATAGATATACAAAAGAATATTATTCGGCATTTAAATAGAAGGAAATTCTGTCATGCCTGTAATTCCTATACCACTGAGCCACAACCCCATATAGACATAAATAAGCTAGGAGGACAGTATTTTAAGTGAAATAAGCCAGATAGACACAGAAAGGTGAACACTGTATGATCTCACTTATATTTAGAATCTAAAATAATTGAATGTGGAAGTTGGGAATACAATGTTGGTTACTAGTAGCTCAGGTAAGCCAGAGATATTGATCAAAAGGGGATAAGGACAGAGATATTAATCAAAGAGTAGAGAGTTTCAGTTAGACAGGAAAAATACATTTTAGTAATCTATTACATAGCATGGTAATTATAGTGAATAATAATATATATTTCAGAATTGCTGAAAGAGTGATTTTAAATGTTATTACTGTGAAGAAATAAATATTTGACACGCTAGGTTTGTTAATGAGCTTGATTTAATCCTTCCACAGAGTATATATCACTTTGTATACCCCATAAGTATGTATAGGTATTATTTGCCAAATAAAAATAAAATCAAAAAAATTATTCAGCTTATATCAGCAAAAATTTTTAAATGATTCTGAGCCTAAAAATCAAATAAAAACTCAGAACTAAGTCTGGGAAGTAGCTCAGTGATAGAGTGCTTTATATTTGTCAAGCCCTGGGTTTGACTCTCAACACCACAAACAAAACAAATTCCAGAATCGTGAAGGTTGCACTGAGGAGGCAGGTGAAGTAGAGATACTGTCTAATAGATACCTTGCTCTGTTGACCCAGTGTTGTCTGATGTATTTGTAGAGAACATAGCTGGTAAGCCAGCGCTACAAGTCCCCAGTTCTAGAGCTGCTGCCCCAAGGCCTCCAGTATCTACAGCCAGTGGACGTCCGCAAGATGATACAGACAGTGGCCGAGCCTCCCTCCCAGAACTGCCCCGGATGCAGAGACCCTCTTTACCGGACCTTTCTCGGCCCAATACCACCAGCAGTACGGGCATGAAGCACAGCTCCTCCGCGCCTCCCCCACCACCTCCAGGGCGCCGTGCCAACGCACCCCCTACACCTCTGCCTATGCACAGCAACAAAGCCCCAGCCTACAACCGAGAGAAACCCTTGCCACCGACACCTGGACAAAGGCTCCACCCTGGCCGAGAGGGCCCTCCTGCTCCCCCTCCAGTCAAACCACCTCCTTCCCCTGTGAATATCAGAACAGGACCAAGTGGCCAATCTCTGGCTCCTCCTCCGCCGCCTTACCGCCAACCTCCCGGGGTCCCCAATGGACCTTCCAGTCCCACTAATGAATCAGCCCCCGAGCTGCCTCAGAGACACAATTCTTTACATAGGAAGACACCCGGGCCTGTCAGAGGCCTAGCACCTCCTCCACCCACCTCAGCATCTCCCTCTTTATTGAGTAATAGGCCTCCTCCTCCAGCTCGAGACCCTCCTAGTAGAGGAGCAGGTAAGTGTTTGGAAACCCCTTTATTTCCTTTCATGATTTTTTTTCACCTTTTTTTTTCCTCAGAGTGTCCCTTCAGTGATTGAGGAGAAGAATAATTCATACACTTGTATTATTGAGAGCCATTTTTTTGGTACCTGGGATTGAACCCAGGGATGCTTAACCACTGAGCCATATCCCCAGCCTATTTTTTTTTTTAAAAAAACATGGTGTAATTTTTTTTTAAATACCTTTATTTTGTTTGTTTGTTTATTTATTTTTTTTTATGTGGTGCTGGTGATCAAACTCGGTGCCTCATACATGCTAGGCAAGCGCTATACCACTGAGCTACAACCCCAGCCTTCCAGCCTGTTTTTTGTTTTTTGTTTTGTTTTTTACAGGGTTATGGAAAGTTGCTTAGGGCCTCACTAAGTTGCTGAGGCCAGCTTTGAACTTGTGATCCTCCTGCCTCAGCCTCCTGAGACATTGGAATTACAGGCATGGGGCACTGCACTCAGCTTTGAGAGCGGTTTTATATGTCAGGCTCTGTTGTTAGGGAAACATGAGTAAATAGAAAAGATAAAAAATTCTTGTTCTGGATAAAGTAGTAAAACAAATATATAGTACATGGTCTACTTTGGAGAAACACAAAGGAGAGAAGAAATATGAGGGTGGGAATGAGGAAATACTTTGAGATGGAGGAGTAGGTAGAGTCAGGACAAAGCCTTACTGATACAATTATTGTTTTTTTTTTTTTTAGTTTTTGTTTTTTTGGTATTGGGAATTCAACCCAGGGGTGCTTTACTGCTGAGCCACATTTCTAGCCTTTTTTGTTTTTCATTTTGAGATAGAGTTTTGCTAAGTGGCTGACACTGATCTCAAACTTGTGATCTTCCTGCCTTAGCTTCCTGAATTGCTGGGATTACAGGCATGTGCCACTGCACTCAGCATTTTTTTTTTTTTTGGTATTGGGGAATTGAATTCGGGTGCTTAACCACTGAGCCACATCTCCAGCTCTTTTTATGTTTTAAACAGTGACAATTTGGCAAAGACCTGAAATAACGATGGGTAAGCTTAGAAATTCTCTGAAGAGTATAACCATTGCAGGCAATGGGGACAAGTGAAGAGGCCTCAAGGCATGACTGTTGTTGTTGTTTTTATTTTTTAAAGGAGTATTTTTGACTCATTTTGGGGACAGTAGGGAGGTCATTTTGACAGGATGAGAAGGAGAAAGGGGAAGAGTGGCAGGAGTGGAGGTGAGAAAACTAGATTTTCCTGAGAGAACATTGTAGGACTTTGTGAAGAGTTTGGACTGAACTCTGTGATGGGGAGCTACTGGGGGGCGGGGGTTAACAGAGAAGTAGTATTTATTTGATTTACTATTTAATGAGACCACTAGCTTCTGTGTTGAGAACAGACTGTAGGAAGATTGAGGTGGCAAAAAGGAGACCACTCAGGAGGCTGTTGGAATAAACTGGGCAGGTGGGTAAGACAGCAGCAGATCTGGGAGAGGAGTGCTGTTTGGTTTTTGGCATTAAGTAAGTTTGAGATGCCTATTAGACGTCCAAGGAGAGAGAGTGAATTGGTGATTGAATGACAGTTTAAAGTTTAGGGGAGAGATCTGGGCTAGAGAGGTCAATCTGAATGGCATCAAAAACCACATGCTTGATGATATCACCTAAGGAGGTAGTTATATATAGAAAATGTCTGTGGCTGGGGCCTCTTATGTTAGAGATGAAGCAAACCCAGCAGAGGAAATAAAAATCCTCTAATGAGGAAGGAGGGAGGAAAACCAAGAGAGTGATGGAAAAACCTCAAAGTAAAGCGAGTACCTCTTTTCAGTGCTGTTGAAGGGTCTGGTAAGTTGGAGGCTGAGAACTGACGTTGGTCTTAGTATCAGAGGACCAAAACAAACAAACCAACAAACCAGCAGAGTGGGAACAATTTACCTGAATAGTCTTTGAGGAGACAGGAGGAAATGGGATCTGATCTATAGGTAAGGGGTCTTCCATAGAAACAAGAGAATAAGTAGTGCAGTAGTAGGAGCTTGTGAAGTTTCTTCTAATTTGCTTGTTTTCACAGTGAAGAACATCAGCTATAAGTGATAGGGAAGGAGAGGACAGTTTGAGGATAGAGAGAAAAGGCATGAAATGGCCATCTGGAACGCAGGAGTTGAATGGACTAGCATTCTAGGGTAGCTAAAACGTAAAAGGCCTACTTCAGATTAGGGGCCATATGTTTTAAGTAAGAGTAATCAACATGGTGTGTCTTCAGCTGTGCATTTGCAGGTACAGAATAAGGTGCAGAATTGTAGGTAACCAGTGTTGGCATTTTTTGGGCATGTGTGATTGTAAGGGAGAGTGGGGTGTGGGTATATAAAGCTGTATTCCTATGTTATTGGACTTTGAACCATTCCTCCCAAAAGTGGCTGTTAAGCTCTATATGTACATATATTAATCTTTATATGTATAGAATGTTGATAAAGAAATTGTCACTGGGCATGGTATCATATGCCTGTAGTCTAAGTTACTCGGGAGACTGAGGCAGAAAGATCTCTTGAGCCCAGGAGTTTGAGGCCAGCTTGGGCAGCATAGTAAGATACTGTTTCAACAACAAAAGTCTTGTCTTCAAGAAGTATGCATTATAAGCCCATTGAGCCGGGCATGGTGGCACACGTCTGTAATCCCAGCTACTTGGAATGTTGAGGCAGGAGGATGGAAGGTTTAAAACCAGCCTCAGCAATTTAATGAGGCCCTGAGCAACTTAGCAAGACCCTATCTCAAAATAAAACATAAAAAGGGCTGGGAATGTAGTTAAGTGCCCTGGGTTCAATCCCTGGTACCAAAAAGAAAAAAAAGAAAAAGTCCATTAACTTGTGCTGCTGCTTAGTTAGGTACATACAGTTTTGTACTTTAGGAGTTGGCAGTCTAATAAAAGCCAAACAGTAGTCCACACGTTTTTGACCCATATTTCCTTAGTTTTTGCCACAAGGATATGGTCCTAAGTGGCCCTTGATTCTAAGAAGTTCAGGTTTAATTAATTATTATTATTTTGTGTGTGTGAGAGATACTGGGGGTTGAACCCAGGGGCACTCTACCAGTGAGCTGCATCCCTGGCCCTTTTTTTAAATTTTAAGACTGAGTCTTGCTAAGTTGTGGAGGCTGGCCTAGAACTTGCAATCCTTCTACTCTAGCCTCCTGAGTTCTTGGGCTTACAGGTGTGTGCCACCATATCTGGCCTATTTTTTTTTTTAATTTAATGATTTCTTTAAAAAGACACTTTATTTGGGAAAAGCTTGTTATCTTTCAAACCCATCCAGGAGAGAAGCAGAGAAAAACACAATTTCTGTATGGTTTGAATAGTCTATAGACGTCTTGCTTCTCACATCTCAGTTCTATGTGCTTTGTTTGGAAAATTTTGAAATTATGATCTTTGTTCTTCTTTCTAGTTAGCCATTACCAATGTTGGACTGGGAGAGGCCTCGGCTTATGTCTCATCAGTAACCAGAACAGCAGTTCTTTTTTTATCTATTTTATTTTTTTAGTTATAGACAAACACAATACATTTCTTTATTCATTTATTTTTACTCGGTACTGGGGATTAAACCCAGTGCCTCACATGTACTAGGCAAGTGCTCTGTCACTGAGCTACAGACCCAGCCCAAAACAGCAATTCTTTTTTATTTTTTTATGTTTTTATTTTTAGTTGTCAGTGGACCTTTATTTTGCTTTTTATTTATATGTGATGCTGAGAATCAAATCCAGTGCCTCCCACATGTCCGGCAAGCACTCTATCACTGAGCTACAACCCCAGCCAGAGAACAGCAATTTTTAAGAGTTGTACATTGGGAAAAAAAGATATTTTTATCTGAGGTTTTCTGAGTAGTGACTCTATTTGTTGTATGGCTTTGGGCAGATCGCTCTGATTTTCTGTTTCTTTACTTATCTGTAAGTGATTCAGCTATGGTGGCACAGGCCTGCCTATAATCCCAGTAACTTGGGAGGCTGAGGCAGGAGGATCACAAGTTCCAGGCTAGCTTCAGTAGCCTAACAAGACCCTGTCTCAAAATAAAAAGTAAAAAGAGCTGGGAGTGTAGCTAAGTGTCACAGCACCCCTGCATTCAATCTCCAGTATTACAAAAATAAATGAATTAAAATTAAAAACATAATAAACTAAATAAAAGTATGTGTGAAAATGTGAGGTGCTGATGAATTTTACTGGTTTTATGCAAATTGCTTCTAGGTATGGACTTACCTTTTTAGATAATATTGTGGCACTATTATGTGATAATGTCATTTTGTTTCTATATGAATTATTTATATTTGAAAGCATGGAATCTTTAACTTCTCAAGAGTGCTCAGCCACCAAAAAACTTGGTTTTATTGATCCACAGAATTTATTTTCTTAAATTTTCCTTTGAGGAGTAAAATACGGTCCTTTTTTAAGGGAATCAAAAGAGAAAATTGATCCATCATGTTTTCTTCAAAACTCGGATTATTTTGGATTCCAAAAGGCTGTCTCCTACCCCAGGGCTTCTTTTGCAAGCTGATTGTTTTTTTAGAGTCTTTGGACTCTTGCTCTGTCATTTGAAATAGTCTTAAAACAGGATCTGTCAAAGAGCTCAGAGGCTTATTGGAGAGAGTGGGATGGTTGGGATGACCCTTTGTGAGAAAGGAGCTGGATAGGATAAACCAGGATCACTCTTGGCTTACTCTGTTTTGGCCAGCTCAGGTTGGCATTCCTCACTGAGACCTGTCTAGTGTCTAGCTGGTATCCTTGTGAACCTAACTAACCCTCTCTGCCTTAGATAGATACAGTTTTTCAGGGCCCTAGGAAATCTAGGGTTTAGGGAATAAAAAAGAGCTTTGATTTGGGATAAAAACAGGTTTAGAGATCTGCTAGGTGATAAGGAGATTAATCTTTATTATATCCAGTGATCCCTGCCCATATCTTAAACAGTTCTTAAAAAGAATGAGAGAGAATTCACATTCTGAGCATATCTTATGAGAAACAAAAACTAACATTTATTGAGTCTGTTGTGCTAGGTTGTGTGTGTTCATGTGTATCATCCCATTACTGTGTTCAGCTATATGATCACCCTACAGGAGTTCTCACAGTATTTCAGGAGGAATGATAATATCCACTTTTATAATTAAAACAGTGTTAAGACACACTTCCAACACCTTAGTTAGGGCCAGGCGTGGTGGTGCATGCCTGTAATCCCAGCAGCTCAGGAGGCTTAGGCATGAGGATCATGAGTTCAGAGCCAGCCTCAGCTACTTAGTGAGGACCTAAGCAACTCAGTGAGACTCCCTGTCTCTAAGTGAATACAAAAAAGGGCTAGGGATGTGGCCCAGTGGTTAAACACCCATGGGTTCAATTCGTGGTACAAAAATTAAAAAAATAAAAAAATCTAGGGAGATAAGATCCTTATTGCTTGAGGTAGAACAGTGTGAGGATATTGCAAAGAGCAGATGTAGGTACTGGTGATATAGCTCAGTGGTAGAGTGCTTGCCTAGCAGGCAGAAGGCCCTGGGTTCAATCCCCGCTATCTCTCTCTGTCACACACACACACCCCAAAAAAGAGCAGATGTGTGCTGAGTCTATTTTTATTAGATCTGTGACCTTAGACAAATAATTTGAGTCCTAGTTGTCTCATTTGTGAAATGGGGATAATAGAAAATACTTTGTAGAGTGGCTGTAAGAGTTTTAGTTTTTAAAGATTTAGTACAGGGGCTGTGGCTGTGGCTCAGCAGTAGAGCACTCACCAAGCATATGCGAGCAAGGCCCTGGGTTCGATCCTCAGCACCACATAAAGTAAAAAATAAAGACATTATGTCCCCCTACAACTAAAAATAAATAAATAAATAGATAGATAGATAGATAAATAAATAAATAAATAATAAAGATTTAGTACATAGTGAAATGCCTGGAATGTGATGGATACCCAGTCAGTGGTAGCTGTTCTTGTTAATTAAAAGCCTATGATAATACAACCTAAACACTGTAGAACCTATTCCAGTGATATTGCCCTTTTCTCAGGCATGCTTTTTAAATTTTTAAAAAATTAATTAATTTTTTTAGTTATAGATGGACACAATACCTTTATTTTGTTTATTTATTTTTATGTGGTGCTAAAGATTGAATCCAGTGTCCCACACATAGTAGGCAAGTGTTCCACCAGTGAGCTACAACCCCAGCCCATATTTATTTATTTTTATGTGCTGAAGATTGAACCCAGTGTCTCACATGTGATGGGCCAGCGCTCTATCATTGAGCTTCAACTCCAGCCCTTAGGCATATTTTTGATATTAGCTTCTTGGCAAAGTTTTGTCTTTTAAAGATGAATTTGAGGGGCTAGGGATGTGGCTCAAGTGGTAGCGTGCTCGACTGGCATGCGTGCGGCCTGGCTTCGATCCTTGGCAC